CCAATGCAGCCATGTCTAACATAAAGGCATAAACCTAGTCATATAAAAAGAAATGAATGCATTAACCTTAATGTTGGTAAAGGTATGAGGTGATGGATTTAAGTTAAATATCATGTTTTCAAATTGGGACCTTGCTTTCCTGATTTTAAATTTTCGTTTTGCTGACCATCATGCCATATGTACAGACTGGCAAACACGATAGTGAACCTTTCTTATACTTAAATCAACAATAGAAAAAGTCTTCTGGTATCCACATAATGCAACGTTCCTGAAAATGTAGAAAAATGCTTCTGTGATGGAAATATCAGCCCATTTACAAACCTTTAAAGTTAGAAGAAACCTGAAAGTGGGCTGCAGGCTAAAGGAGAAACATAAAAGAGAGTATTCCTATGACAATAGATTTAAAGTTCTCCACTTAAAAAAGAAAAAGAAACTCTCTTGGCATTGTTTTTTCCCCTTCCTTTTTTCCTTCCTTTCTATGAAGCACAGGAACCCTCTCACATGCCTGCAGATAAAAAGCAGCTCTGTCAACCCACTATCACTGGATCAATGCTGCCATCTACTGCTACACTTTCACACTTGTCAGGATGCAGCTCATTAAAGTATTTAGTGCTGTCTAATTACTGAAATGGTTGTTTTCAGGCAATGTTAATTATTTAAATCCTATCTAATTCGGTTTAGAAAGCATGCATTTTTTTCCACTGGGTTTCTAATGAGCTTTTTTTTACAGATTTAGCGGCTGTGCCTGTTTCATCTTGCTCTTCATTTATCCATCTCTCTCATCACTGCACACTTTGTCCTGTGTTTTATTCTTGCAGTGGTTTCTTGAATTCCTTCCAATAGCTCTGAAAGTGTTGGGTAGGGGTGGGATAGCATCAGGGAGATGTATGGGGTAATGGCAATGTTGGATCCAAAAATAGATTCAAGGGCTTTAGTCATCAAATAGCATACTGCACAGGTGTAGTTTTATGGTCTAGGCTCTTTTTTATTGCTTCCATTGCAACCTTGCAGTACTATAAATCATAAGCATTTTGTTGGAGTGTACCGAACACATCAAGCATTTACAGCTATGCAACACAGCACTGATCCCCCGAGACCCGATGACAGCCAAGATTTGGTGTTAAATTGCAGTGTTTATTGCCAAATGAGTAACAGAAGTGATGGAAACACCACCTTACATACAATGTCTCACAGATACATGAATGGAGGTATGGATTTTTTTTTTTTTTTTAGTGTGCAGTCCACAAATTTCCTATGTACAGAATCAAAAGGTGGGTGGGTGGCTGCTTTTCCAATTGCGAATGATAAACCATCCCTGTTTCTGCCACTCAAGCTTAATCATACCAGAAATTGTGAAAAGCTTCCCGGGGCATGAAGGAGAAAGTCATTATATTTTAAACTGGTCTAATTAATATGGAGGACTGGCATTGACTGTAAAATTATCTGATTAAGATGAGAGTAAAGCCTGTCATGCTGCTTGCCTGACTTCCACTATAACAAGATCGCCACCATCAGATGCACTTATTTTGAGAGCATGTACCAATGACCTACAGATTTTTTAATAAAAAAAAAAAATATTTAGAAAGACTTAAAACAATTTGGTAAACTGAACAGGTGAAAATGATGTCTGCAAATATGGTAGTGATTTGTGGGAGCTAATCATTTCAGTCTGCAGGCCAGCTGTATTCTTAGTATTCAGTATTCTGTCTATTTCACTGAAGAAAATTGAATATGTCACAGTATGTGAATGACTCAATAATGAATGTCAGAGTTGTTCCTACTGTGACAAAGGCCTATTAATAGCAATTAATTAAATATTTATCTAATTAAATAACTAATTTTAATGTCACACTTTCAAGGTCATTTTTCATGCTGGTTCTCTATTAACAGTGTCAACACTGTCAGTGATAGCTGTGTTTCTCCTACCGTGATAAGTCCCAAAGTCGGCTCAGGAAAAAAGGGCTGAACAGCACAGCACCATATTTGTTTTTTAATAAAGGTTTTTCAATTTTAGGAGGTCCTGTAACTACAGATTAGAATTTAAACAGCTTAGATTTTTTTATCTCAAGATTTAAAGTAAATACTACTAATAATAATATTAATAATAACTGGTTTAAAACTGACAACATATTCTGTCTCACAGAAGCATGAATAAAATTATTTAATAGTCATCTACTATTAATGTTGCGTGGTCAAGTATAGCTATTAAGTAACCACTATGTGAGCAGTAAAATTCATGAGTTTTGATGATTATGTTTCTGCATTTTATTAACATAATGTATCGGATTTAGCTTGTGATACCAATGTGAACCCTAGCCTCCTATTACAGTTCTAAGATAAGTAAAAGAATAATTGTAACTGAACATGCAAAGATAAAAAAAAACATTTTCAAATAAATTTAGGCTTCTGCGACATGTAGTGTTTCTTGTCCTCTTTAAATCCCCAACCAACCTAGTGACGTGGTCAGTGACGTGCGACAATATTGCATTACTACAAATTTGGCTGTCAAACAAAATCGATTATAATTTAACGTGCAGCGATTTCCAAGCCAGTTATTAATTTTGTATAAAATCTGTCATTAATTCAGCAGCTCTCCTGGTGTGTGTTTTTGTTGAGAAGTGCCATATAATACATTACATTTAAAAATTTATTATGTATATTAATTGAGAATATAGCATGTTTTTAAATATACGTTGTGAAGGCACGAAATTAAAAGTATGTGGATGTCGTGAAAGAGCCGTTGAAAGGATAACGCGTTTTACTTTACGGCAAGATTGGCCTTCCGCTTTTTGTGTGTCGCAGTGGAATTTGGCTGGACTTTAGCGTTTGTGTTGCTAACAGGGGTTTGGGATTTGCTTAAATACAATGGGAATAGAGGAGGAAACGGACCGCACCGTCTTCATAAGAAACCTAGATACTAAAGTGACGGAGGAGCTTTTGTTCGAGTTGTTTTTACAGGTGCTGCTTTCGCCACTTATGCACAAAACTAGAAACTGTTGTTAGCATAATAGCTAGCGGCACAGAAACCACGTACAAATAAAGTGACCGGAATGTACTAACACGTGGAGCTATAAGCTGTATTGTGCGGTAACAAATGTGTCTCGTTTACGTCTTTTGGTGTTTTACACATGCGTTGTGTGTATTGGTTTTTCACCCCCGAATGACAGTAGCTAGCTAGTTAGCTGTCGTTAGCTTTAGCTGTTGATCACAGGCTTTTGTTTACGAAATTCGTTGATCCTTTCTGCAGGCAGGACCTCTTGTCAAAACCAAAATTCCAAAGGACTCGGATGGGAGACAGAAGACGTTTGGTTTTGCCGTATACAAACATGACGTGTCCGTGCCCTACGCCGTGCAACTACTAAACGGAACCATGCTGTATGGGAGAAATATCCATGTGCAGTTCAGATCAGGTGAGCTGGCATTTTTGTTGCTTTGAATTATGACGTAAATATTTTAACGTGTTTTGTGCATATTTATGTGGTTTCAACACTGAACGTTTCAGTTAATGCTTGACTATCCAGAAATAAGTAACTAAAAAGCTATCACAGACAAAGCTGCGACCATCATATTTCACGTAAAGAAGTAGGCGTCAGTACTTGAGTAAACTACTGTTAGTGTTACTGAAAAGTAATGACCCATGTACAGTAACCACCACACCCTACACCCGATAGGGATTCTTTGGTTTCGGTGTTGTGCACAGTTGTCGGTGTGCATAGTAGGTTAGAAGGAATAGAAGTGAGACAAAACCTTGAGCGACTTAGTAGTTGAATTAAATCACTCAAGTCTACAGAAAACCAGAGGGTTTCAGCCTTAGAATGGAATGTGCATTGACTTTTTAACATATAAAGATATGTCTTTTCAGACAAGATACTAGGACGAGGCAGTATAGTTAAAAGTTGTATCACTTCTTTTTCACTGCATTGTCTGACTTATATAATTCTACCTCACTCTGAAATGCAGCCTGCCTTGTTTGCAAAGTTTTCCTCCAGAAAGTTATTTTTAGTATATATTTATATTTAACCCAAGTGTAAATCAGCACTTGGGTTTGCAACTATTTTATTAGATAGTGTAGCTGTAGCGTTTTGGGTAGTTAACTCCTCTAAACATAGTTGGCAATAAACATGGTAGCCAACATCACTTGTGATTGTTTCATTACAATTAATTGAAGGAATACAAATGCACAAGACTAAACTCGGGTAAACTATTTTACTATTTCTTTATTTTTTCAAAATTTAAGTTAAAAAAATGAGCAAAGGTAGAGTTAGTTCCTGTCTAAAACTGCTCACACGCTGTGTTTTCCACATGTGGTATTTTGCATGTAAAGCACCACAATTTCATGTGGTGTTTACTTTGATTGTGCTCATAAGAAGCCATATATTTTTATGCAGATGTCTGCAAAACTAGGCAACAAGAACCAATATTATTTAGATGCATAACTGCCTCCAAAGCCCAGAGCAAAGACAAACCTCTCCCTTTAAAATATTACTTCACATGGAAAAAATGTATTTCCTCTTGGCACATCAGATGTTTATTGGCAATGTTAGTGAAGAAACCCCCCCCCCATAGCCCAACCCAATTTTCCAAAACCTTTGCAACTTAACCAAATGCCCGACGGCCAAGGACCAGTAAAAAAAACATGTTAGCTGTCAGTAGCCCGTTTGGGCCTGTTCAAATATAACTTCAATTTCACATGTAAAGCAAACAGGCTTTGGATTACTTAATATATTATCATGCTTTTTACAACTACATAAATGTACTATTGCTGTGTGATTTATTACTATTACTGAAGGTTGCTCGCCATACCAATACCAACTAGATTTAAATCTTAATATAAAATGAATAACAGTAGGGTGGACATTAGGTAAGGCTGCACTTTTAGTAGCAATCTCATATAGAAAACTATTCCGCGTGTATATAAAACAGGTCCGC